AACATTATTAACTAGATTAGTCAAAATGTCCACAATGATTCCCGAACATTAAAAAGTTCTTTAACAGTTACTCCATCGTGTCCTGGTACAGCATCTTCTTTTAGGTCCTTCTTTTAAATCCAGTATGACACATGTTATTCCCGGGGGGAATAACATGTGAAATTATACTGCCAAAATCACAAGTATAATACTTACAATATACATTAGTCGTAAATAAACATTTTTATCATAATTTTGGCGATTTCGCCATGCATCAAAATGGTTTTTCATTTTTTTACTTGAAAACGGCGCATCGTACGGAAAAAAGTGAAGAGATGAAATTTGTTCCAAATTGAGTGGGGATTTCATAAATAATTTTTATTTTTAAAAAAATATTCCCAACAAAACTGGTACGGACGGCACGGGAAATTTAAAAAAAAAAAATATTTCCCATCGAAAAAATTTTTTTGCTGCTTGAAAACAGTGTCCACAATTTCAATGAAATATCTAGAGTGATTGGAAAATTATGATAAAAAAATAGTTTTTTTCTCAGAGTTTCAACACCCTGTATCTCGGAAAGGAAGCGTTTCCGGACATATATTTATATAGGAAATTAGGACTTATTTTCGACGTAGAATATGACATAAAAATTTGGTGCATTAATTTCAGAACACCCTGTATTTATTATAGGGTGTCCCACTAAGGACGGCCAGGTACGATATTATGAAGACCATAGACCTTACGTAACTTGAAAACGAATGCAGATATTGAATTGCGGTTTGCGCCAGAATGTAAATATTTTTTTGCTCTTCAAGCACAGCTATACAAAAATAATATTATGCCATTTCGATTTTTCATGAAAATTAAAAAAAAACTGTATCTTGAATAAACAGTGCCCTCTAGAAGACGCGGTGGGAACTATCGACCTCGAACGAAGTGGTGTTCTTGATAACAATGAAATTCTCTTCCAAATAAACCCAAATTGAATGAGTTTGAATGAGGGGTATGGAAGATACAGCAATTTCTAAAAAAAAAAATTCACCAGCTTCCCCCACCCTTATTACTGAAGATACAAAAAAAAAACCTAATAACCAAACTGGCGCAAAAATTAATGAACTTTTGATTTCTGTTGTTAAAACAGTATCTTAATCCCGAAGCCGTAAGATCTATGGTTTCCATAATATCGTACCTGGCCGACCTTAGTGGGACACCTGGTACATACATATATCCCAGATTAAGGTACAAATAAGTAACATTGTTCTTAATGATTTTGTTGATTCGAATTTCTTTTGATTTGTGGTCTCTTGATCTTGTATTTTATCATTGAACTTAAAAAAGAGTTTAAATCAGCTAGAAACGATGAAAAGAGCTGTGAAAAGAGCTGTAAAGAGAGCTATGCTGGGAGCTGGGAGTCAATCTATGTGACAAGATCCGGAATAAGAAACAAGAAGAAAGAAGAATAATAGGTGTGGTCGGTGTGGATGTGCAGTGGTTAGCCAAACTTAAATGACAATGGGTGGGGGATGTGGTGGCAAGATAGAATATAGACCGATGCACATACAAAATTACACATTGGAGACCTAGAAAAACAAAAATAAGTGTAGGAAGAGAAAGACCAGAGAAAAGATGGTTATGACATCAAGAGTCAAGAACTCTATTCCTCGGGAACCAACATACCATTTGTCTGAAATTAAGGAAATTCTCGGTGGAATGAAAACAAAAAAAAGCTGTGCACCTGAAATGGAAAACATAAGAAAGATTTAGATTTGCTATTTGATCCAATTGTAGATGTAAGAAACGAAATATTAGAAAGTGGTATCTAGGTACTACTAAGCATATGGCGTTTGACAGAGATCAATAAATAAAATAGGTTCACTGAATTTAAAACATATATTACATGAAATATTTGATACCCGGTGGTGTGCCAGTGTGTAATGAGATCATCTCATTATGTAAATGTAAAATAGATACCGAACGTACCAACCATAATAAAATAATCAAAACCATACTGGACTTAAAAGAAGATGCTGTACCAGGACACGATGGAGTAACTGTTAAAGATCTTTTTAATGTTCGGGAATCATTGTGGACATTTTGACTAATCTAGTTAATAATGTTCTACAGAGTGGTGTGTTTCCAGAAAGCTTAAAAATCAGCAAAATCACTCCTATATATAAAACAGGAAACAAAAAAGCTATGAGTTACTACAGGCCAATATCTGTACGAAGATTATTGAAAAGCTAATAAAAAAAAAGGAATTTTATCTCATGTGCATAAGCAAGTATCTTTGAATGAGTACCAGTATGGTTTCCAAGAGAATAGTAATACTTTGTGTGCTACAGCTGACTATATCAATTACCTCTCTAAAGCACTGGATTCTGATAAGATAGTGACTGTGATATATGTAGATTTAAGAAGGGCGTTTGATGTGGTTGATCCAGATAGGCTACTAAGTAAGATGGGGTCTATTGGAATGGCGGGAACTATGATCAGTCTAATTAGAAGTTGTCTAAAGGCTATAGAAAGCAGTATGTCAGGGTAAACAATACCTACTAAAAGTGAAGCAAAAACAAATAACTTTGGTGTCCCCCAAGGCTCCGTTCTTGGACCACTGCTGTACATCCTTTATGTGCTTAATTTAAAATGTGCAAACCTTAAGCCACGTTACTTTACATTCGCGGATTATACTGCTTTGGTTTATTTTGGGGATAGTGCTGAACAACTTTGTGGGGAGATTATTGATGACCTTAAAACATACATGAACCGGCTATATTCTCACAAACTAAAAATCAATCTTGACAAAAGTAAATAATACAGGGTGATTCAAAAGTAAGCGGCATCCTTTCGGGGGCGTATTCCTTGCATAAAAATAAGACAAAAAGTTCCTATTAACATGGGTCCGGAAATGCTTCCTAAGGGAGCTACGCCCGTTCGAATAGGACACCTGAAAGACGTATTTTTCTCTATAACTTTGAAACCCTTCACAAATGGATTTTGAAAATTGGTGTATTTTATAAACATTTGATGGCAATTAAGATACTAAATTGAAAATTCAAAAATCTTAATCAGTGGCGTCACATACTGGGGAGGGTGAGGATTAAAACATCCCTATTTTTTTTACTTGTCAGGTTTTTGCGATTCTGATTGAAAATTCAAAAAGTTTAGAGTCTTTCACACAGAAAAGGTATTCTTGGTTCAATTCGATACAGCGTACCGTTTACGAGAAAATTTTCTGATTGGAAAAAAAAGAACACACAATCTTAACAATTTAGAGAAAATGTTCAAAATTATTACCATTAGCATCATGACAAGCTGCTAATCTTTTTATTAGATTATGATGGTAGAATTTGTGACATTTAATGCGTGTATCAAACGTCAAATTTTAGAAACAATGTCAAAAAAACGCGAATTTCGCCCTACTGAGAGCTAAGCTTTGAAACGTTTTGAACCAGAATCAAAAGTGACGTCTTCAATGACTCAAGAAAATGCATTTCTGTCAAAATTGCTAGAATTTGATTATTAGCTGACAACATTTTATTTTAAATGGGAAAGTTTAACCAGTGCAATGCAGAGTAGTTTTCTTTCATCAATAAACATACGCAAATCAGAAAATTTTCAAAGTCAATTTTACGGTACGCTGTATCGAATTGAACCAGGAGTACCTTTTCTGTGTAAAAAACTCTAAACTTTCCGAATTTTCAATCAGAATCGCAAAAATCTGACAAGTGAAAAAAATAGGGATGTTTTAACCCTCACCATCCCCAGTATGTGACGCCACTGATTAAGATTTTTGAATTTTCAATTTAGTATCTTAATTGCCATCAAATGTTATAGAGAAAAATACGTCTTTCAGGTGTCCTATTCGAAGGGACGTAGCTCCCTTAGGAAGCATTTCCAGACCCATGTTAATAGGAACTTTTTCTCTTATTTTTATGCAAGAAATACGCCCCCGAAAGGATGCCGCTTACTTTTGAATCACCCTGTATATGGTTTTTAAACAGAAAAACAAACATGTTGAAAATATAAATATTCAAATTACCAACACACAATTGGAGCAAGCTGCTAAAATAAAATATTTAGGACTAAGTTGTTGATGATAAACTGACTTGGACTGATCATATGCTCTATAATTGATAAGATTATTCCTATAATTGCTGCAATGTATAAATGTAGAAATTCAGGCCTATGATGTATCATTATCTGTTATTTTAACAGCAACATTAAGTTATCTGTCACTGTTTATTCTATACGTCAAAATAGAGACAGCAATAGATGTTGAGCCATAACACAGACGTTAAAATAACAGGACCGGATACATCAGGCCTATTCGGGTTTGGAAAAAGGATGGTTCTAGAACGGTTCAAAACAATCGTCCAGCTTATTGATCAACAAAATAACAACGACTGGACTATCACAAATTTCAATAATAAACTGTGCAATTCTTCTGGACCATTCTAGAACCGTACTTTTTCCAAACCCGAATAGGCCTATCATAGGCCTGATTATTTAACACAAAAGTCTAAATCTCATATCCCATCTAAGGTACTTAATACCCATATGTAGTCAAACTAATTTTAAGAAAGTAGAGCCTCTAGGCTAGTGCTTAAAGCACTGTTAAGGGAATCTTAAAAAAATATGTATTCATAAATGTTTATAATTTGTAATATATCTTGTTTCAAAAAAAAAAAAAAAACATGTTTTTATTGGTATAACTTTTCAATGTAAATTATTTAGGAAATATCTTGTGCCAAAAAATTTCCATCACAAATTCAATACGTTTTTGAAATTGGGTAGGTACTTATTACACTTTACATTCTTCATTAAACGAAAAAAAAATTAAGTGATGGGGCTATACTATACATTTACCATTTCTCCAAAAACAAAAACTACAATACAAATTCTCCGCCTAAAAACGATTTTCTACCTTAGCTCTCGGACTACAACCATCGATATGGATTTAATTAATTTTAGTAACAGCTGTCAAGCCAGAACTACGTTACATAACCTCACAAAGATAAAATCAAAACATTAAAAACAGACACTTTAAAAACAGTGAACCAGTCCACCGAAAACTTCTCAAGTAAAAACATGGACTGTATCGACGACTACACTCATAAAAGTTTGAACGTCATGTATTTTTCCAAGTGCATTCCCACAAAAGAAATTCAAGATACCATTAAGCCGAGTAACGTGTTTTGTGATTGCCCGGGAATTTGCAATAAGGAATCAAACTGCTCTTGTATGAGACACAGTGGCACGGCTTACCAGTTCGGCGACATTAACGATTCAGAAACTTATGTGTTGTCTTATAAAAACAAAAATCGACCTACTTATGAGTGCAACGATCAGTGCCAATGCAAAAACAGTTTTTGTGGTAACAAATTGGTGCAGTGCGGGCCTAGGAAAGGATTGAAGGTAAGAGTGTGTGATGATGAGAGAAAAGGAGAAGGAATATTCACAGAAAGACTGATAAACAGTGGAAATTTTGTTTGTGAATATGTGGGAGAAATTATTTCGGAAAAAGAAGCTTCTACACGCTTTAAAATAAATGCCAAACATAAAAGAATGAACTATATATTTTGTATTGATGAATATTTTGGTGAAAATAATATAAAAACTTTTATAGACCCTACAGTGTATGGTAATATTGGCAGATATATAAATCACAGTTGTGATCCAAACTGTATAATGGTTATAAGTAGGATTCAGGATAATATACCAGTTTTAGCTCTGTTTGCTAGCAAAGACATTGAAATTGGCCAGGAAATTTGTTATGATTATGGAATAGCTGATAGAAGCGAAGTTTTGAAGGATGATGATGTGGACAGGACCAAATGTTTATGTAGAAGCTCCAATTGTAGAGGATTTTTACCATGTGATACTAGGATTATATAGAAATTGTATTTTTCTTGTAGATTTTTCAATAGATAGCTAGTTGAAAATATGCCTCATGATTGAAATTACATAACATCACAGAACCAAGACAAATTATGCCTGTTTAATATAATACATTTCAAGAATAGCAGCCCACAAACTACTGCAGATGGTCATAAATGGTATGTTGATATGAGAAAAAAGTTGATGTTCTGTTGAGTATAATGTTGTAGATTTATTCGGGAATATGAAAAAGCAACAGTTTATGGAAAACAGTTTGAGGAAGTCTAGTTTAGAATAGTACAATTAAAATTTGTTTTAGTAACTTACCTAGGTATTTCCTTTGTAAAAATGATAATAAATAAATATTGGTATATGTTTTTTTTTTCCCCTATCTCTATGCATATTACTCAAAAGTGAATTTCTCAGAGATTATATGAACCTAAATTATGTTTTTCAACCCTTATAGTTTTTACAAGTGGATTGCAACATGAGAATTTATTTAAATACCATGGTCCATGAGACACAGACACCCCTAGATTCCTAATTTTCAGGATATTTTTGTTAAATTAAAGATCCTGATGATATAAGTCATGTTCAACTAACACTTGATCCCATTTTTTTTTAGGGAAACTTACTTACCTACTTTGCTTGATTCATTCTATTTATTATTACTTCATATTCGCCCAAATACTAATCTTAGAAATATTAGGAAATATTTGGTGTATAAAATTTCTATTTTACATACTTACCGCCGATTTATAATATTCAGTGTAATCATCACAAGGAAAAACAATGTTCAAATTCCTAACATCCTTCACTGGAGTCACATAGACCAGTGTCTTCATTTGATCTTCCCTAAACGGATGCTTGTCCCATCTTGAAGCTTCAATTTCCTTATTTTTAACACAAGAAAATAGCTCGACAACAATAGCTTCTAAATCGTCTAGGGATTCTATTTAAAAAAAAAAATATATATATTTTAATACCTAAATTAAAAAAAAAAAAAAATATAATTACCTTTTCCTAACACAGCCAAACACATAATATTAGAAGAATACCATTTACTATGAAACTTTAGAAGTTCATCTCTAGCACTAATCCCTTTTTCCTTCAAAGAAGTACTTAAGGTTTGAATATTTCCAGTTCCGAAAGTATTATAGGCGTGCTCAGGATCACATAAATGATGATCCAGTTGATTTATTCTCCAAACGTCACTAGGAATATTTTTGTCATGCTCAGAGTTAACAGCATTAATCTCCCTTTCCGTAGCACTCTCAGTGAATAAAGGAGAAACAAAAAACTGGGAAAACCTATCTAAGGCTTCTTTCAGCTGATCCGGAACTATATCAAAATAATACATTGTGTGATCCAAATAAGTAGCAGCATTGCTACTGCCTCCATGTTCTTGCAGAAACTTATTGTAGTCGTTTTCATTTGGGTACTTTTCGGTACCCAAAAAGAGCATATGCTCACAGAAATGAGCCAAACCTTTGACATTTTTAGGATCATTTAGGAAACCTACATTCACATCCATTGCAGCAGCGGACTTGTCCGTGTTGGGATCGCTTACCAGAAGTACTTTCAAGCCTAATAATAATAATAATTTGATGATTCATTTAATTGAAAATAAAATATAGTTGTTTTCTTACCGTTGCTCAGCTCTAGGCCTCTATATGCGCGATTGTCTTCTTGGGATTTTGTGATGTTCTCCACTCGTTTGAGTACAAGATCTCCAGCTACAGTCATTTTTGGATGTGTCTTTCCAACTAATGTAAGCGAGCTAAAAATAATTTAAAACTGAATAGTTTTGAATACTGTTAATTAGTGGTTATTGATTTTATATGAATACGCTAATTATTGTATTTATTTGAAGGATAAATTCAAAAAATTCCTTTGGAATGGGTGCAATTACCTATAAAAGCAGAGCCTTTTAATTTTGCCTCGGGAGAACGAATTAATGAGTAGCCTTGTAGAATTTAAAATCTGCATTCAGCTGACTTGGACACGTAATGTTACCTGATAAATCAACGGCAATTAGGAATTTTTTAATTGTCTTTTAAATTATTTTAAAAAAAATAATAAATATAGAAAAATATGGAGGATAGAAGTGAAAAATGACTGACAGCTGACAGTTACCTGAGGTGCTTTCTGGGGCGAGTTCAGGAATGACACACCCAGTGGGAGTGTGACACCGGTGCGACGCCCTAGCTGTTCAAAAATGCTAGACGGTGCTATGGGCCCAATGGCCAATTGTCAATTCAGGCACACCAATAAAATCGCACCCGCATCCTGTGCGTTATTTCTGAACTCGGCCGTGGAGTGCGTTCGAAATTAGTCTGGGCGTCACACTGAGTGCACACTACAGTGGCTGTGCACACCAGCCCTTCGAAAATGAATTGGTATAAACTCCGTTTGACTTTCACGCTATTTAGTTCGAAATTATCCGGGGTGCTAACCAGTGCGCACTCTTTCTTAACCAACTTTGCCCAATGAACTATAACCAAAAACTGGAATGCGAACACGGCGAACGTGAGGCCTAGTGCGGCTGCTGCGGAGGGGATACCTGTTTTTGTCGCACTCATTATGTTAAATGGCGAAAATTGCTTCCAACACGTATTCCAATTGATGAAACCTGTGAAGGGAAATATGACAAAACTTTCGAAAACGTCATATGTCAGCGAGCAACAGAAAAAAACAACATTCCCCCTTGTGGCATCTGTCTTTCATGGCTTCATTTTTTTTGGCAGATATGTGTGCGCATTCCAGCTGCCGGATTCTATTTTATGAGTCGAGTCGAAATTCGTATCGAATGCGTTGACAATATGACGTTTTATGCGTGTATCAAACGTCAAATTGTCGAAGCAATGTCAAAAAAATGCGAATTTCGCAGTTATGAGTACTAAGCTTAAATCCGGAGCTGTCATATTCGATATCGAGACAATTCGACTCGACTCGTAAAATACATAATCGGGGGGCAGTTTTTAGCTATAGTTCATTGACTTTGCCGCTGGGTATATTTCACTCCTGTCATTCTTGTCAGTTTTTCATTATGCAAAATAATGTTCAAAATCTACTACTTTCAGATGGTCAGATTTATTTATTCCATTTTCCGTTTCTCGGAAGTTTTTGTTGATAATAGGCACAAACAGATAAATTAAATGCACAGAACACTGGGCCTATGTTATGTTTATATGTTAGGTTATAATTATACACCAGTGGGTTCGAAAACACACCAAATAAAATTTACTCTTCTGACCACGTGACCATATACTCACTCTCCTTGTGGGTAAAATCTAACCATTTTTCGAACGCACTCCAACCATTTTCGAACTAGCGTGAAAGTCAACCGGAGTTTATACCAATTCATTTTCGAACGGCGGGTGTGCACCCAGGGTGACGCCCAGGGTGATTTCGAACGCACTCCTAATTCTCAAGTTATTCCGGCCGAGTTCAGAAATACGCACAGGGTGCGAGTGCGATTTTATGGGTGTGCCTGAATTGACAATTGGCCATTGGGCCCATAGCAACTGTCTAGCATTTTTTTAACAGCTTGTGTTAACAGCTAGGGCGTCGCACCGGTGTCACACTCACACTGGGTGTGTCATTCCTAAACTCGCCCCAGAGCTGATTTCTAGTATGCACATTGGCGCGCTCTAGAGCACCCCAGTGGCGGCTCGTGACAATCCAAACTGGTGAGGCCCAAAGCCCGCCGCATTTCTGAGCTAATCCAAACAAACCCTTAACAAAATTTTTGAGTGCCACGCCTATTGATCCAAAAATTCATTAAATAAACACACTTTCAGGTGGTTGAGAGAAGGAAGTTTCTAGCAAAGACAAAACAATATCGTGAGAGGGATTCATTTTACACTCCTAGAATACCTAATTATAAATTATAATTAAATTATAATTGGCACCTTCATCCAGCAATACAACAATATCAATTATTATTAACAGTATTTTAACCCGCAACAGACAAAAATAAAAGGTACGCGCCAATTAAATCACGCACTGGCATTTGCTACTTTCGCGAGAGCAAGAGATGCAAGGTTTTTCCTTTAGTAAGCCCAAAATTGTGCGCCTCAATGCCTACAAAAATTCGCTATCTTCTCGCCTACTACATTTTTAGCGTTGTGGTGAGGAGTGGCATGGCATCGCATCGGCGTTCTATGACGCACATGAAGCAACAATTTTTGGGATTGCTATTTTATTTTTACGCTGTCCGCCAACGATTTGAGCGCCTATATGCAGGGTTGCCAGATGGTTATAACTAATTTCCCCCAAAGGATTTCAAAAATACCCCAAAAATCACTGTTTGTCAACTAAAATCCCCCAAATAAATAAATATAGATTTATTCTCGACTCATACTTGCAAAAAAAAAAAAAGACAAATTCGTTAAATATTTTAAAATAAAACTCATACCCTTACCACTTTTTTATTTGTTTATATTTTTCTAATCCCAAAAATAAAATGACAATTGACAAATGACAAATGAAATAAAATGTTGTGACTGGTGACAGAACAGATAAGTACAGTTGTACCAAGAAGTTTGGATAGTTTATTATTATATTATTAAGCTGTATTAAAATTTAGAATACAGCAACTTAGAGCACTACGCACTATAACCGCAAAGAAATGCAAAACGCAAAATAAAAAATAAACAATGCAAGCAACGTCGGTCGTTGGGGATTCCCCCGATCCGATTTGTCAAGTCAACTGTCATTTGTCATTACAAATTAAAATAGATCTAGAACTGAGCGTTTGCGTTCCTCTCGAGAAGAAGCAAACTGTATCATTTTTATTGGAACGTGATTGAAAAAATAGATGGCGCAGTTGTTTTAATACATTTTTTACTTTAGTTTTATTCATTGAAATATATCCAATTTCCCCCAATAGCGAAATAAATTCTTACCCCCAAAAAATCTCCCAGAAAAAACTATCCCCCAGATTTTCCCCCATCGACTTGAAAATCCCCCAAATTTGGGGGAAAATCCCCCAATCTGGTAACACTGCCTATATGGCTAAATAGGCAGAATCGCGCGCTAAATTCAACAGATAGAATTAAACTTTGTTGAAAATGTGATGTTTTGATACTTTTAATGGTTGAAAATAGTTGAAAAACGTTAAATATTTAATAAATATTATTTCAAAATTTTACATCAATATTGTAATCTTTACATGTGAGGCCCGGCCTCAGTTGCTTTATACGACGAGCCGCCACTGGAGCACCCCGACAGCGCGTCGCACTCTCGCACTAGATTTGTACCGTTCCAGTATCATGACGTGTGACGTTTGTCCGTATGTATAGCTCGGGAGCTTAACGCTCCGAGTAGCTCCGAGCGTCACACTCCCATCCTGGAAAGCGGCTCAGTATTCCTTTCAAGCAGAGATAAATACTATAGGTCTGTTTCTGCAGAAATCACAAACCAGTCATAGTAAATTTCATTGGTTGAACCTAGTTTCCTGACTGTTTTCAACCAATGAAATTCGCTCTGACTGTTTTGTGATTTCTGCAGAAAAAGCTTATACAGGGTGTCCCAGAATATGTGGGCAATCTCTCGGATTCAGATAGAACACAAAAAATAACATGACAACTTTCTATAAAAAAAATTCCTAGGGTCCCCCCTACGAAGTTACGTGCCCCTAAAGGAGGCCTCTGAAAATCGGTTTTTTGATGATAACTTTCAAAATCCTTTGTGTAATCATTTTTTCTGTTAATATGATGGATACTAGATAAGACCCCTTAAAATTGACCCTTTCAAACACACTTGGCCAATCTAGTTTGCCAGGGACGGACTAGCTTTAACACAATAATGCAAAAAAAATTTACACCCTGTATATGATATGGGCATAGCAATAATATTCAGTGTTGCCGTTGACTGGGTAATTCCCCAAAAACCGGGTATTTTCGACTAGTGTTCGGGTAAAATATTGATGTGGGTAAAACCGGGGAATCCGGACTTAGTACAGCCCTATTCTTTTTTCTTTTTTTTTTTTCAAAAATTTCAACTAATATTTTCGCTATTGAAATTTAATGTTTGACGTTCAAGATGGCGTTGCGGCATAACAAACTAGCTATCTTTGTTAAGTGAATTGAAAATGACAAAGACGGACATAGAATGGTGGATCCATCGGTAAAATTTGATGAGAATGAACACGCAGGGGTCCATAAGAGACTGTTTCTGTGAATTTCTGAAGTGTTTTTTTCGGTGTTGTTATCAGTTTGAGAAGGTTTTTTGATAAAAAAAAATTATTTTTCGCGTTTCTGTGGTTCATGTAATTTATGTTTTTGACATTCATTTGCACAGCTTGTTGGGGTCCGTTTTGTACCTGATGCCCAGGTATTTTATTGGTAGATAAATATCCCAAGTAACTCGGTTTTAACTACCATCAATAAAGGAAATTGCAATAAATTAAAATTCATCAAATTAAACTTGTTTCAGAAAACAAGTAGAAATAGGTAACACACATTTATGGAGGCCACCAACTATTTTAGGGAAGCCTTAACGATAAGTATATAGCTATATACCTAGTTGGTGGAAACGGCCATTGATGATTTGGGGATTTTGTTTTCAGTGTCCGGGTAAAATTGGGTATTTTATGAGATTGGAAAGGGTAATGAGAACTCTTGGTCCGGCAGCACTGATAATATTTTTATTGTTTCAACCTTTAACTAGAAAAAAGGTACTCTTATTCGATGTCAAAAAAATGAGCTGGTTTCGAGAAAAATCAGTTTTTGTGTATTAATGGTTTTTTATTAAATAATTTTTTATGTCGACTCAACATGAGATCCTTCTAATCTTATGCATTCCAAACCTATTTTAATAAAAGATCGTTCGACTCTCAACAATATGCTTCAATATTAGCCCTTATTTCGCGACAGTGAAAATTAATCCTTTCTACTAATATTTCCTCAGTTTCATTATTGCGTTAAAGCTAGTCCGTCCCTGGCAAACCAGATTGGTCAGAGAGGGTCCATTTCAGGGGGTCTAGTATCCATCATATTAAAAGAAAAAAATTACACGAAGTATTTTGAAAGGTGTCAACAAAAAACCGATTTTCAGAGGCGTCCTTTAGGGGCAAGTAACTTCGTAGGGGGGGCCGTAGGAATTTTTTTTTATAGGGAGCTGTCATGT